GAGCCTGGCGGAGCGCCCGGCCCTGGGGCACGGAGCCGCCGCAGCCCTCGGGAGGGAAGGGGACGAGCCGGCAGCATGAAGTTCCAGTACAAGGAAGACCACCCGTTCGAGTACAGGAAAAAAGAAGGGGAGAAAATTCGGAAGAAATACCCCGACAGAGTCCCCGTGAGTGTGCGGTTCGGGGGCACTGGTCGCTGCTGGCCCCGCGAGGCCGCCGCGCTCCGCCGCCTTTGTTTGACTTGTCGGCTTCATTTTTTTAAGGCGAAGGAAATGAGTTTCGTAAAGATGATGGTGATCGCGATGATCTGATTCGAATCCCAGGCTGCTTTCCTGTTTAGCGCAGAGCTAGGGCTATTTATGATGCGGGAAGGTCTGCGGCGCGGGTGGGTGCGGGGTGTAATCCTCCCGTTTTTCTGGGATCCGCAGTAACTCGACGGTGAGAGCACTGCTGGCTGTTCTAGGAGCCTGTGTGCGTGGGGCTGAGCAGAGGGGAAGGAACTTACCCTGGAATCTGTAAAAATGGAGGAGAACAATGAGTGAGTTAGCCGGATATTCTTCATAGAACATGGTCTTCCTCTGTTCCTTCGCATGAGCAAAAAATGATACTGCTCAATCTTTTGGCCCTCCTGTTATCTTACCCTGTGGAGAAAATGTCACTTAGAATGCAATGTCATCATGTAGCTAAACTTCCCTTCCTCACCCTTAGGCCCCTTTGGAGAAGTGGAAAACTTCTAGCTTTATAATTACTAATAATAACTCGGGGAAAAAAGAAATTACAAATCTAATGAATTGTGGGGTGGATTTTTTTTCCTTTTTAATAAATATTTTGCAAATGTTCTTTCTTTCCATCCCTACTGGAGTGGCCTGCCCTAGATTTACTGCACAGGAGTGTTGCATACAAAACAACTTGGACTCCCCTATAAATCCAGGGGCAAGGGGGAACAATTACACCCCATGTTTTCCCTGCAGGCTAACAGCATTTTTTATCTTGGGAGTGACCCTCAACTGGACTTGAAAAAGTGTTTGGAAGGCAGTATTTGGGTGCATTTGTTCTAGTAGTTTTTGGGACACCTCGCATAGTACAGCAGGTTGAGCACGCAGCAAGTCAGTGGTGAAATGTATGTGCTTTGGTGTTTTACAATGAGGACCCCAGAGGGATCTGTAGGTCTGGAGTGAGACATGCTGAGGATTAGCATGGCAGACAGTACAGCAGGCTGTGATAAATACATCTAGAAGAACTGTGTGGGGAGCCCAGGACAAGACCTGGTCTGGCAAAAGGTAAAGGAGGCCAAGATAGGGGTACATCACCAGACCTTTGTGAAGAATAACCAGAATAACAAGGTGTGCTGTAGTTAAGGATAAATGAAAATGCTGCACAGCGAGGCCCAGATGTGAATTAGCAAGGGTAGCCTGTTGTCAGAGCTGCACACGAAGCAAATGAACGCAGCAGACTGTTCTTCACATCACTTGTCTCTGCCCCTCCTGACAGCAGGATCCTTGAAGATGTCATCCATTTGGCTGCCTACACTGCATTGCCCTGATACACCTCAGCATTTTGCTGAGATTTTACTGTTGGCACAGTCCCACATTACCACAGTCACCACACAGCAACAACAGAGGTACAGATAATCTGTACCTGCCCTTTGGATTTTCTCTGTAGGTTTTTTTTTGTGTGTGAAGGGTTTAATGTATAGAAGAGATAACGTGTTATTGGGCAAACTGACTGCTAGTCAGATTAGCAGAGCATCTCCATTCCTTCCCTGCATCTTTTCAAGAGGGAGATCTTTCTTAAGCTCAGTGGTGATCTGATTTAAATCTTTCCTAAATCTTCCCTAGGGGCTTAGAAGCCCCAGCACTCTCACCTCTTCCTCATAAGCATAACTTCTTTTCCTGTATTATCTAATGACCAAGGTACAAGCCTCCCAATTGAGTCAGGGTAGTCACAATTAGCAGTTCTGCTTGTCAATAGTTTGTTTAATTGGAGGTTTCTCTTCACTGCAGTTTTCTGTGTTAGATACTGCCTCATTGAATGTGATGCTAAAAAATATTTGCAAAGTGCTGTTGCTGTTCAGCCTGCACCTGTTCAGTGAGACTGGAACTGTCCTTCCTTCACAGCATCCACCAACTGCATCTTACACAGAAATGTACATCCCATCACAAACTGCCTGAAAGAGCCTGAATGCCTTGTACTAATTTAGATATTATAATTCTCAAAGTGGCAGAGACAACTACATTTCTATTTAAAATCAGACTTAGAGTTTTCAGGGGCTTTAGCTGTGTTGGCTGCATTCAAATGAAGCACAGGGGAGAGGTGTGCAAGCTAGAATCTCTACAGTGTGACATGCTTTGCTGATACCACTGGGATCTAGAAAGAAGCAGGTTAGCATGGCACTTTGTCCAGGCTAAATACACTAAGCTCATCGTAAGGTTTCTCTGGCCTAGTGTCTCACTGAGGTGACAACACCATTTTGCTCCCAAGGAAGGCTTAGTTCACAGCTGATTTGGGTTGCCAAAGAGCTATGGGAGCATAGAACCCTTAGAAATTAGTCCCACAGTGTCTCAGATGAAGTATTTACAATTAGAGGGTCTAATGGAATTAAAAGTTGAGGAGGTTTGGAAAATCCAGCTTTAGATTTGGTTTAGGTGGTAAAAATGGCTTCTGCAGAACAGCAAGCCACATGGATTGAATGCTGTACTATATATCTTTTACTAGATCAAAAACACATATCATGAAAACAAACAAACAAAAAGCCTGCAATTTAGTTCTAAAGGTTTCAAGGGTTTTCATGGAAGGAGATCAGGTAACTTTGGAATACTTCCTGCTTCTGAGGTAAACATTTTGCCTAGCTAACAAAAATTAATCTTGTAGCAGAAGGTCTCTTGGTCAGTTTGACCTTAAAGCTGCTGAACTTCATGTTTTTCTGTGTTATAATGACATTGGAATGTAATGAAGATTAGTATTTTGTGTCAAAGGTCTCTGTGGGCCCAGGTCTCAGGTGCTGGACTGTTTTAGTTACTTATATGAATAAGGAAACATCCATAGCTATATGAAGTATGAATAGTATGTTCACATCCTTAAAGGATGTAAATTTCAGAGCAGAAGGAAACTGCCAAAGAACTGAACATTTTTTTTCATTCCCCAATGAGCTGCAGTTGCTCTTTAATTCTTTGCTTCATTCTAGAGCACTTGGTGTTGGTGAAAGTAGAAATTAGGATGTGGGACTACTGGGAGTAGAGCTGATTTAGTGCAAGGCAGTTTGGAACTGTAACCTGGAAACAGTTTAACTTACTTACAATACTTCTCGTGTTCATGTATTAGCCTCCTGACAGCTTCTTTAGACAAAATTAACCTGAATTGGGAACATCAAGGTGTCCTGAATATTTTTTCCTTGGCCATTATGGTTTATTTTTATGTCTGTTCCAGACTCTTTTTTTCACTCACCACATTTACTGCTGCATTCCCAGGACAGCTATAAGTAGTGATTTTAAGTCATCTTCTCACCAATCTGTTCTTTAATGTTGTGTATTTGTTATAGATTAAATAAATAGCTAAAGGCCTGGTAGCATCATCAAAGGGTAATATCCTTATCCACTGGTGCTTTTTGGTCCATTTTGTTTTATGATACTCATGATTTCTTTCTTGCTTTCTCTCACTCTCTTTCTCTCCAGGTAATTGTGGAAAAAGCACCAAAAGCCAGAGTACCTGACCTAGACAAAAGGAAGTATCTTGTGCCTTCTGACCTCACAGGTAAGAGTGTCTACCTCCTTTCTTCCTGATTTTCAGTGAGAAGATCTCAGAAGTGCTTTTTACTCTATGATCAGCACCAAGAAAATGCCCAGACAGGCTCAGCATATTACCCCAGTTTACCTGCTGTCCTTGTTGCATTTATGCACCTTACAGCTTGGATCACCACAGTCAGAATTCTCTGAGACCTTCCAAGGTATCCCACTGACTTAGCTAACATGCATGTGTCACAGATGAGTTCTAACCATGGTGAAAATGACTGAATTGTGTGTCATAGGCAGTAGCATAATTGTCAGTCACTGATGACCTCGCTATACTGTTGCCAGAGGCTGTATGGTAGTTTCAGGAAGGGACAAGTTCTTGGAATAGTCCCATCCTTTTCCAGCCCTGTAGCTGGAGTCAGAGCTACAAAGTTCCTCTTTGCAATTTTATATGGTTACATTTGTTTTCATTTAAGACCATGACTGAGTTAAAGGAGCAGCATTTCTTTTTCTTGCAGTGCAAAATGGACTGCAAAGTACTTTCTTGTGCAACTTAGTTCAAGCAAATAGTCAGGATTTTTTTTTCAGGTATGACCATTTATACCGGGGCTAAATTCTCTAAGGTGTCTTTGAGCTATAGGATCTAAAGGTTAAGCTGGTTATAGGTCTTCCCACCAATCCCCTCAGTAGAGCATCTCATAAAATAGTATGTGGATTTAGAGGGTACATGGCATGAGGTCTGTACCTGAGAAACTGCCAGGTCCAAGTGGATTGGCTGCTAATCTGGTTACTGTCACGAAGTTACTGCTTTCTTTTACTGCCTTTTTTCCTCCATTGTTCATTTTCCCCTACTTTTTATATACACGCTGTGACTTCCACCACGAAAAGAAAACTGTGGTGAGGGTTAAAAACAAAGCAAAACAAAACAAAAAGAAACAACATCAACAGAAAACCCCAACATTCCTTCTGCATCTAAGACATTCTCCTCTGTTTCTCTTCAGTTGGCCAATTCTACTTCTTAATCCGAAAGCGGATCCACCTGAGGCCAGAAGATGCCCTGTTCTTCTTTGTCAATAACACCATCCCTCCCACCAGTGCTACCATGGGCCAGCTGTATGAGGTAAGCCTGGCCCATTTCTCTCATCTTGTGTTGGAGCATCTGGAAGAATGCACTACTCAGCTGGCAGTGGGTTCAGCTTAGTCACAGATGCCTGAACACCTTCGGGCCTGGCTGCATCCCATCATCTGTTCAGGGAAGTTCCATCCCACAGTTAGGAGTCCAGGGAGCCTTACCACTTCAACTAACTCTTTGCTAGTTGAAAGGGTTGTGGTATCAGGTGGTGAATAGATGCAGGAGCATGTTGATCCCACTGCTTTAACAAAGTATTAAAATAAACCACTTTATATTTCAGGGGAAAGGTTGTGTCTGGGGCAGGGAGAGGGCAGAACACAGACTTTCCTGTTTATACAAAAGGGATTTCCTTCTAGCCAGTAAAAGAACACATTATCACTGGGCAACCAACTGTCTATAAGTATGTTCTTAAGAAACACTCACTCTATGTTTAGAATTACTTTGTCATTGCTTGTACTGTGTAAGTGAGGACTATGCAGGACGCTGTGTACATTGCTGCCCACGATTTCTACTGAGCAGTGTTATTTGATCAACCTTACAGGCATATTCTGTGCCCGTCAGAGGATTGTTCCTCAGTTATATATCCATTATGTCATGGGTGGTTTGCAGCCTGGATTGATTTCTCCTTGATTTCTCCTTCTGCTGTGCTAGTGTGTTTTAATAAAAGAGCTCCAGCATGGTGCTGTGAGCCTTGTTTGACTTGTCAGTTTTTGACAATACCTGGACACTTCATCAGTATGTGGGCTGATGAAGATAATAACAGGGAGTTTTCCAAATCTGAACATGCAGGAGGAAGGTATGTCTAACTGTCCAGAGCTGAGGTCAGAACTCTGCTCCTGGCACGCTGCAGACTTTTTGTGTCAGTGTAATCACATAACATCTCAGCTCTACTGCCCATGTGTAAAACAGGAGTTAGAAATAAAGCCCTTTGTCAGGGTGTTCTGAAAAATTAAAAACATCATCTAGATAGTCTCTCCTCTTAACCTTAAGACCATGGCACTGCTAAGATACTGCTGCATGGTGTGCAACAGTCAGAGCTGCTTCCATTGCATGCTTGCAGCACAGTCTGGCTGTGGCTCTTCAAGTAAATTCACTGCATCCAGAAATATGACATGTCTGTATTTAGAAGTACAGCTGTGACCAGAGAGAGAGTGTTCTCTTTGTTTTGGGAAGTGAAGTAGGGAGAAACAGTGAAAGTGAGGTTATGCCCTCGAGTTACAATGATCTCTGGGTTGGGCTTTTTGACGTACTGAGTTAGAGGGATTTGGTTTGTTACTTTCTCCCTTTCTCCCCTTGTAGGATAACCATGAAGAGGACTATTTTCTCTATGTGGCCTACAGCGATGAGAGCGTCTATGGCAAGTGAGCACCAGCCCCTCAGGCATGCAGGCTAGATGGACTGATGGAATGGATTGGAGGGGGAGGGGGTTGTTGGAGAGGCGAAGGAGGATGCCTGAGAAGAGGGGAAGAGAACTGGAAGTGAACCACGTGCACAATGTCATCAACCTCCATGCATTAATTATAACCATTATTTTTTAAATTGAGGGGAGGGAGGGTTGGGGGACAGCATATGAAGGGGTGAACTGAAAGACTAACAAGGGGTTTCACACTTAGGAATGGGGAGACTTCACTGTTCACAGTTCTTCTCTTGTCACAGCTGGAAGTAGTTAGCTAGTACTGGAGGCTGCTCGACCAGCCGGTGTGGTGAAGCTCCAGGAGGGTGACTGGGCAGGATGGCCATTTTCGTGTAACCCTGTCATTGGATGAAGAAGGCATGCCATGAATTGTACACTGATGTTGTCATGCCTTGCCCCTGGCACAGGCTACTCTCCTGTGAGCATTCAGAGAGCTGTGAAATACTTCACTCTGCCTACACAAGGCTGTCCTGTGCTGACAGTCCACACTCCAGCTGCTACCTGTGAATTGTTCCAAGGATATTATGTTTCCCATCACTTCCATCAGTATTAGAAGGGCTAGCTCTGAGGGCTGGGAGCTCCTCAGCTGTGAAGAATGATAGTTGGGGAAAGGAAGGAAGGATTTTTTGACTTTGTTGCTTTAATTGTAAGTGCTGAACAGAAAAATCAGAGATGACTCTTTTGTTCTTTTCAGTGAAGTCAACTGATAAACTCATAAGCACAGGGCTAGAAAGGACCTCAAGAGAATGGCTAGCCCACACCAGCTCTGAGACAGGACTAACTATACCAAACATGTCCACCATGGCTGCTCATCAAACTTGTTCTTAGTGAACTTCACTGAGGAAGATCCTGGAGGCTGCTGAGATTGTCTGTTCAGTTCCTAGCTAGCCTACAAGTGAGATTGCTTTTCCTGATACTTAATTTTAGTCTCCTTTGCTTTGCATTAAGGCAACTAACTAATAGTGGTCTTGTTATTGGTGAACACAGAAAATTATCAATGTTGTCCTTGTGCCAGTCTTCTGCAGATTTGAAGATGGTAGAAGTCCTTTGGGTTTAGCCTTTCCTTCCATGTCTCATCCCTGTTCAGCCCTCGTACCACATGCACAACTGGAAGAAATCAGTCACTCCCACATGTATTCTGTTGGCTTTTTGTGATTGGACAACAGTGCCACTCTTTGCCACAAGAGAGGTTCTTTTAGACTTGAAGGGGAAGATATTCCCTGTAGATTTTTAAAAATTATTTTATTTTAAACCAGTGTTGTTCTTAGAAGGGTGCCAGATGGGTGCTGTCCTGTGCAAGCCTTATGCTGTCATGCCAAAGCAGTTTCTTCCTAGTGGCACAAACAGCAGATTTTCCCATAACTGCCATAACTATGATGAAAGAATGGGGTTTGGAGAGTGAGGTGGCTTTCAGGGAAATTCTGCAGTTGTATCTAAAAATCAGAGAACTAGACCTGAATTACTGTCAACATTCCTACATTTAAGAGAAGGGACCAAGAGGGAAGAAAAGATAAGAAGGATGAAGAAGACAGGCGGATTCCAAAATAAGTTGAAGGTGTTTGCTCTATTTACTTATCTATAAAGTTAGATCCCAGTTCCCTGTGTTCCTCAGGAATAAGAAAGGTGAGTGCTGATTGTGGGAGACAGGAAATCAGGTTTCAGCCTTCTCTGAGTGTTGTTACGCAGAGGTGCATGAGGCAGAAGAGCTCACTCCCTCTCAAGTGGGAGTCACTGGCAGAACTGACTGTGTGAAGATCAGGGAAGGCAGTGTAGTGGGACAGAAGGGTGGGAAGTAGCAGAAGAATGGGAGAGAAGGGAGGAACCACAAAGTATGTAGACAGACTAGCTGTAATGGGCAGACAGGAAATGGGGGCGCAAAGGGTGAAATGGGTGGCTACCGGTGTTTCATCTTGAACTTCAGGTTTGCTGTTCCATCACGTGTCCATCTGGAATAAATGTGTTTGGCTGAGTTGTACCTACTGCCTACATAGATGACATCAGTTTCTGCCTGCACTGCTCAGTCCTCTCTTTTAGACCCACTCTCCTTCAACTACTAGGCTCTCTTCACATCTTTTGGGCACAAATCCGCATATGTGTTGCTTTAAGAGGCTCTGAATGTTCTGAAGCAGAGAACAGACCCAGGAGGCTTTCTAGGGTAAAAGACAAGACACAGGCAGATGGTGTGCATCTCTCTGCTGCTGTCCTACTTGCTCACGTGTGTACTGCCAAGCACGTGGTTAAGCATGCTCAGGGGAGAAAGAGTTGGCATCTGGGGTGCTTGGTTTTGTGTTCAGACCTCCCCTCCCGCTGCTGGATTTATAAATGACATGTGGGACTAATCACAGCTGTTTGTTACATGTAGAGTTTACCGTTTAATTTGTTCTTTCACAGTTCTTTTAACTGGATTGTGGCATTTACTTCTGGTTTTGTGCTAGTCCGGTATTGTATGAGGTAATGATGGTATTTTTTTTTGTGTTGGTTAGCTGCAGGTTCTTGTAAAATAAAGTTCAGACTAGAGCTAAATCAACCTATCAATAAAGACACATTTGAAAATCACAGATTGGTCCAAAATGGGTGACTAGCAGTTCTTCCCAATGTGGGCTTGTAAATAAAGGGACAGCTTTGCCAGAACCTTTGCTGCTACTTTTTTTCCACAACCCCAGATTTACTCTGTCCTGTCTACCAGGACAGGTCACTTCTCCCCTTTTTTTGGTGATTGTGTCACACACACAGAGCTGTGTCTTGCCATGCCACCAGTGGGAACTTTAATTAGACCTGGCTGATGTGAGACTGTCTTAAGGTGCATAATGGATGCACCAAGGCATTTTCTGCAATTTTAAGGCCCTGAACAGTCCTAGCCAGTGATGGACCCTCAAGGGCATCACCAGCCCTGGCAGACCCCCAGGGCCACCCTCCCCATGGCCCAGGACTCTTTACACCTGTGCTGGCACTATCCATTTCAGCTCCCTCAGGACTATGGGCACCTGTTCTGGTGATGCTGCAGCAGGGATGATCTCCAGCTCCCACAGCCCTGCCCAGCCATGAGCCTTGCTGACCCAGGGCCCAGACTCAGCCCATCCCCACACCCACAGCCTGGTCCTGACCCTGCCCTGGGGTTCTTACTTTGACCTGCCTCATCATCATGATGAGCCTTATGGATGGCATTTGTGCCTGGGCCTGGCCCCCATCTCTGGACATGCCCCTCTCTCCCCGTTGGGTGCAGTGAAATGGGTCCTGTGGTACCCTGACACGTCCCGCGGGTCCAGTAACCTTCTCTGTCTCATCACAGCTCAGGCTGTGACTCCCAGCTGTGGGTAGAGACTGGGGGGGAGGTCCTGGGAGCCCCTCCGTGCCTCAAGGTCCTCTAATGATTGGAAAAGCAGAGATAAGGAAATCTGAGACTCCTTGAAAAGGAAGCTGCAGCAGTGACAGATCTAGGCTGTTTTTCCTTGCGGATATTTGTGCACTGGGAGGGAAGGAGTCCTGCTGGGAGCTGGCAAAACCAGCAGGTGCCATTTGGTCAGAGGTAGAACTCTGAGACAGGCACTGGCAGTGCATGAAGAGGAGAGGGATGCATGCTTTCCTCTGGGGAAGCAGCAAGAGATGTGCCCCTTCCCCCTCCTCCCTGGCACCTGCAGTTTGTGCAGGTGCTGCTGGCCAAAGCAGCAGAAATGGGCCATGGTGATGCTGCAGAGGAGTGACCATCAGAGTGACCATCGGCTCTCGCCCTGCCATGCACTGAGCAAGAGAGTTGCTTGGAGTGCTAAAGGCAAGAATTACAACATCAAAACTCTCAGGAATAAAACTTGCTGTGGTTAATAGGATCTCCTCTTCCCCACTGCATACAGAGTGGAACCACTGTGGGAGCTTCTGTTGCTCGTGCAGAGGGAGAGGCAGTAATTCATCCCGTGTTGGAGCCTGTCCATAGCAGCAATTTCTGTGCTCATACCCACCATGGTGACTAAAACAAGCTCCTCCTCTATGGCAGTAGGGTGCTGTGACTCCAGCCAGCTGGTCATAGATTAGCTAAAAAATCTTACGCTCTCAGCTGAAATTGTCTGAATTTCAGTTTTAAATATAGTACAGATTTTTCTGTGTAGATTGTGGTAATGTCTGCTGGCTCAAGTAGAAAACCACTATGAAGTATGACTAAGCAGTTCTCTCCCACTTCCCCTCTCACCCCTTTCCTGGGAAAATTGTGCCACAGTTTGTACCTGCCATCCTGCTTTGCATGTTTGTGTCAGTGCCATTGCTAAGATAATTGGTTACATTGCACTAACACAAAACGTGCAAGCAAGCACATTTACTGAATGTGATTTGCCTGGTCCAAATGTGAAACATGAGGCTGTGCTCAACGGCTGTTTTATTTGTGTCTGGAACCTTTGTTCTGTGGGTTATAGGAATTGTACTGAAGCAAAGCCTGGGGGAAACAAGGAGCTCAGCTGGTTAAGAGAGGTCCAGTAATTAATACTCTGCCTTGGTCACTATCACTGCACATGGGATCGTCCCTTCAATCATCCTGATGCTTGATTTGGAAGAAAACATTCTGCTGGAGCAGAGACTAGCTAAGGAAACAGACTTCCTGAGGCATTAGGGCCTGACAACATCACCATGAAGGGTATATATGGGCTAACATTAAAGGTCCTGAATTATGCTAAACACTGATGTTTTTGCTTCCATAAAATAGTCGTGTCTGAGATGAAAGACACACTGATTAAAACAGAAAGAAGACTACCAGAGAGAAAAGCTCCAGCTCATTGTTGTCATTCACTCTCAGATAAATGCTCCCCGGGGAGGAGCCACAGGGAGTGACTAGAATGCTCATTGCTGGCATGGCACTTGCAGGACTGACCCAGGCAGAACAAGCTGACTACAAACAGCAGCTGCTCCATCTTGTGCTGCCAGTCTTTAGGAGGATTTTGCAACTCCCAAGTATTTGTGTTCCTAGAACCTTGTAGGCATTCCAAAGCACAGCTTAGGCCTGGATATACATGTGTTACAGGAGTTAGTTAATATTCTCCTGAAAAAGCTGAATCTTGCAGCACTTTTCTCTAAGGTAAGGGACTGATTATCCCTGATTCTGCACTCTGGCCAATGTCATCTGCATGTTGTATTGCCCTTTGGGAACTAAAAGATTTTTAATATATGCTATAAATAGTGATACATGGAAGCAGGAGAACATAAAGATCCTAATTTTCAAGTGAGGACATTGCTAGAACTGCATTGAGATTGATGGTACTGGGTTATCAGCTGAAGGAAAAACTTACCTGGTTCACTCTTTAC